CCCAACAGTATGGTGTTCATCAGGTGGGGCTACATAACCACACCATACCTGCAACAGCGCTCAGAAGCCCAAAACAGACCTAACTTTCATCTGAACTGTTGCCAGAAGAAAAGGGGCGGTCAATGGGTGAAATGAAACAGAGGCACAAATAAAGCACATTCAAGCATCAATACTTCTCCACAATAGGTTCACGAGAACGCCAGTAAATGTCTCGTTGCGATGCCAACCATCTCGATGCCTCTAAAGCTGAATCATTCTGTGCTGCTGTGCTGACTGAAGGTTGGTAGAATGCGATTGTTATGGTTCTTGGTGACAAATTCAGCATGCCACACCCACCGAGAGGCAGTTGCACAAGTCAGAAAATCTTACCTGACAGTGCCTTTGCGCGCGCTCCGACGATGCCGCATTAGCATTGTAGAATCCATTGAGAACACCTAACGATGGCCGAGTGAGCAACGCGGTAGTCGCCACGCAGTGCCGTATGGGGAAGACCTGTCTTGATGCTTCCACCAGCAGCTGAACTGTTCTCCAATCAATGCGGAACAAACAGATAAAGTTTCCCGGGGTGCCAAACAGCAGAGGCTAGCTCCAACGCAGCAACGACAGACGCGTCCTTACCGTGTACCACGCGGCGACCCTGAAGGTAGCCGATAGTGAGACAGGTTTCGGTGCGGGCTCGCTGCGAAATCAGCTAACTCTCGGGCCTGAGAAATAAGCAGGCACCGACTATGCAGCCGCTGATGTGACAAATCGGTTACCCATGAAAAGTTCGCATGACGAAACATGGTGCGTAATGTCCGTCATTTAGTAAGACTCCCTCCATCGCGGTTGCTTTATGTACTAAGGCTCTACTTTTAACTTATTCCTGCAGACTGGAGCCGGTCAAGCCAGCATAGGCACTGTGCAAAACAGCAGTGACAACACTCCGAGTCTACGTCCGGTCAGCATCAGATTTGATTAACTTAAATCTGCCCATTGATGCATAATGACACAATACTCCACCCAAAAGTCGACAGCGCCACACACACACACACACTACCTGTCAAATAAATAATGTTGGAGGACATCCAGTCGTGGGGTTTGCACCTGCAGTGCCCTAGGTGAGTCAATACAGTCTCGGAGATGACATTTTTGTAGATTAACACAGGATGGCAGATCAAGCACTTGTGCAGCACGGTTCACGGCGTCCTGCAGAGGGTGGTTTGTCGATTTGCAGCAGGAGGGCTCATGCGCAATACACCTCGCTAGCGGAGTTACCTGAGAGGTGGCCTTGAGAGGCAGGTGTGGTCAAGGGCACACGGGCTTGCGGGTCGATAGCTACACCCGCCGCAGGCCCGGGGCTCCTGCACACTGTCATATCCTGTCTACTCTACTCCGCCCCCCAAAGTCTTCGATCGTAAGAACAGACAAAACAGAGCGCACTCAGCCTAAACTCTGGAGCCGACCGTAACGCTCCGCGTCGTGCTGCTATCTGAGAGAGCGGAGGATTATGCTGACACATCATTACAGTCGCACTTGGAAGCCGGGTCCTTACTGGAGAGACATGACAGGATGTTGGCAGAAAGGGAGACCGGGTGAAAGTTAAAAGGCTAATTGACAGAGCCGAAGAGGGGGCGTTGCACTCACCTTGACGGTCTCGTAGTTAATCATGGCATCAGTAGCGTGACTGCCGGCGAGGCTATCGGCACGGTTCATCTCACGTCGGAAGTTGGTTCGCCAACGCGTCACCGCAAATGTGAATGCCGTATATACGCTGATGCAGGAGAGAGCAATAAGGCTGCACTCGAGACCGTACTTGTAGTACTAAAGAAGAGAACAAGGGAGCGGAGGAAGGGGGGGGGCGAGATGATAACAGGTAAACGGAGACGAGGGGAGGAGCAGATGAGAGAGGAGGGCGGAGAGGGAACGGCAGACAAGAGGCACTAAATGGACGATGGCCACTGAGAGTGGGGGCGATGGACTATAGACGTTGTCCTTTCCTACTTTGCACTGGGGGATTGTAAGCACAGGAACACGGCCGTCATCTACAATAAGGACCGGTCTTAGCAGCGCAGTGGTAATGCTCTCAAAATTTTCCCGGCCAATACGGGCCCCCTCTGCCGTAAACGTGCACATACGTTGCAAGCCGTAGGTGAAGACAATATGTATTTTCAACTAGTTTGACGGGATAACATGTAGGTGCCTTGTGGTTATGCCAAGGGTGGATTAAAATGGATGATCGAAAACTGGAAGCCCTTTCTGCAGCTTTCCTTCATCGAAAAAGAAGTGAGTCGTCTGTGTGTCCTTGAAAAGCGGGATATGTTGACAGAACGCTGCTTCAATTCCTTTGGTGTACCGATATCGAAGGAACGACAATTATGATGACTGCTCCTCCAGTGATGCGTAAGCTATAAGGGAGGTTGGGGGACGATGACTGGTCCGCCAATCTAGCCTGCATCGCAGGCAAGCTAGTCGCGGTGCAGAAAGGTGACGAAGAAACGTGAACCAACATTGTCTTTGTCTGGGACTAGGAATTTCCAGTCTTCCTGCACATTAAAGTAGGATTACGGCGACTTTTTGGTCAGTGCATGGGTGCCTCTCGAAAGTCATGGGCTGCAGGCTGTTGTCCGTCCCCTCACAGTCCCTTTGCGCACCATCTTCATGCGCGTTAACTGTGCTTTTAGCTTCGGTTATATTCTCCTTGGTTATATCTTCCCTACGGAACTAAAAAGTCCACCTTCTACAGTCACGACTCTACCCCACTTTCGATTCTCTTTGGTATGCGTTGCTTTGTCTGGCTACGGCATTACTGACCTCCATCCTCGCTCTTCATTTCGGGTCCAGATCAACTCAAGGTCGCTGACCTTCCTCTGAAATGCTCCTGACACTTAACCATTTACTAAGCGCTGACTGGACTAGTTTTAGCTCGAACGCACATGTTTCCAATCACGGCCGTCCATGCCCTTCTCGAACGGAACGTCCCGCCGGTAAAGCAGCAGACACCTCTTGGAGCCAAGCAATGTTTACTTAATTCCGACGCACATATGGAAACACCCGGCACGACGGACACTCTCTCCTAGGCATGAATTTGCACCGTCCGCACACATACCCTCGCCTCGTCAGTGGTTACTGCCACCAGAGACGGCAGTTCAGGGTTCTGTAAACAACAAGTCCTTCATTCTGGTGCCTTCCGTATTTCGCTAACCAAGACTTGGCTTCGTTCAAGGCACAGTTCACTAGAGGAGCCACTACAGGATTAGCTCCTAGTAGTTCCAAACTTCAAGTGACCCGTAAACGAGGGAAGCATAAGAGAAGCCCACCAGAAGCGACTGCAATCAAACTTGCCGAAAGGGACTAGTGCGCTAACCGGAAGTGACCGTCTTACCGACGAACCACTCTAAAATGACTCATGTAACGCCTCCGGGGCTAAGAAGATCCTGTTTTTTTAGCCCCCCCCCCCCC